AAAGTAAAAAGGGTACTCAAGGATCAGAAAGAATTAAAAGAACCCAGTTTGATTAGGATACCAAACCAAACCAAACTCACTGCCATCAAGTCAATTCTGTCTCACAGTGACCCGACAGGGTTTCCAAGCCTGCACATCTTTACAGAAGCAGACTGCTTGGTCTTTCTCCCACAGAGCAGCTGGTGGGTTCAAACCACCAACTTTTTGGTTAGCAGCTGAATGCCTTAACCGTGGCACCACCAGTGCTCCTGACTAAACTATAGGGTAAACCAAAAAGAAAATGCAGGTGATAAGGCTGAAAAAGATTATTAAGGACAGTGTCAAGGTATTAGTCAGTCATTCAGCAAATATTTAAGGAACACCAACAAGAAGCCAGAGAAAGTGCTAACTCTAGGCAAACTAGGGTATCCAATAACAAAGCCCTCATAGAGATTTGTTGTTGTTGTTGTTATGTGCCGTCGACAGTCTATTTAAGGAGGCACCAAAGTAAAGAAAAATTACAATTCAGGGATACATACTACAGCGGGGCTGAGCAGAGCGTACTGTGTGAATGCCAAGGCACTGCACCAAATTCAATGTAGAAAGTTCAGGAACAGCTTCTCAGCTAAGCAAAAGCTAAACTGAGATTACAAACTTACTTCATTCAGCATTAAGAAAATATGGTACATTTAGGGACTTGGAAGTACACAGTCAAAAATGGCAGGGGAGTAACCAGCTCTAGAAGGGGCTGTGTATGAAAGAACCTGGACTTTATACTTAAGGACTTTTCATACCGAAGACTCACCTGTTAGAAAGCTCACTTAAAGTTGCAGTAGAAGAACCAACTACAGGAAGCAAAGACCAAAAACATTCTATTTAGAAGGCAGAAAAGGACTGAATGTAAATGATGAAAGTAAAGTGAGTAAAGGAAGCAATGCCAGACATCAGATAGACAGTAGAAAAATTAGGGCTTGATGACTAACTAGGTAAGAGTGAGAAATAACTGACACTTGGATAGTTGAAAAAGATAAAAGATTTTAGTTTTGGACTCCTAAGTTTGAAAGGCCTTAGTATACAAACGTTGTTGTAGTTGTTATGTACCGTCGAGTCACACCTGACTCATAGTGACCCCTCCTTGGGTTTCCGAGGCAGTATCACTACGGAAGTAGATTGCTCCATCTTCCTTCCGAGGAGTGGCTGGTGGGTTTGAACCGCCAGCCTTCTAGTTAGCAGTCAAGTGCCTTAGGCACTATGCTACCAGAGCTTCCAGTATATAAAGGGGGGGGTACCTTCAGGCAAGAGAATAACTGTATCAGTTTACAAAGACATGTGAAAACAATCAGTCCAAGGAACCTGTAGATCATGCGATCCTCAGCCTATATGATGACATCAGAAGAACTGCATGGTGTCCAGTACCACTGTCAACTACTCGGGGATCGGTGCAAGAGATCCCAGATAGTGGGAGAACAACGTGGAAGAAAACTGCAATCATAAAAATGACCAGGTTTGCTGGTGTGATAGAGCCTGGTGAGATCTCTGAGACTATGCCTCCTAGCTACCAGTTAGGTCTGGAACTGGACGGAACTCACTCCTGTGGATTCCAGCTAAAAAACAGACAGACATATGGGCTGAACATTTATATCAGGTAGATATACTCCTTGGAGCAATGAATTGTGACAAGTCTACTACACAGAAGAAGGGCTGCTTTGCACAGAAGATAGTTTGGGGGGCAGGAATACATGGGAGGGAAGGACACAGGGAAGAGGTAACTATGGGGAAAAGTGGGAATAAACCTGTTACATTGTGGGAATTGCAGTCAATGTCATGAAACAAACTGTGTATGAACTGCTGTATGAAAACAAATTTACTCTGTAAACTTTCACTCAAATCATAATTTAAAAAAAGAATATATGGATGGGTTTAGCAAGCAAAGAGATCTAAATGTCATCAACATATAGAGAGTAGGTCAGGAACCAAATATGTTTTAAGTGAGGATGTGGGAATGAACAAAACAGAATCCCTGATGTTTTAGTAACCATAGTCACATGGAAGTAAAACTGTAAAAACCAAACTATTTAAAGTACATTAGAAATATTGCTATTTAACAAAATACCATTAAGGACACTTTTCGTAAAGGAGAAAAAAAATATTTTTGTTTTTTTGGGGGCAGGAATCTAAAGTTTTCATATACTGATTTTGTTTAAGGTGAGATTATCTGTATTGAAAAAAAAATACAAACTTTAAACATTTTACAAGATGTATACAGAAATTCCCTAATTACTACCAAAAAAATCTGAAATAAATCTCATTAGGCAAAGAAAACAGCCTCCAATCCTAGTAAAGAGTAAAATTAAAAAAAAAAAAAAAAAATCAACCACCCAAAACAGTAATGGTCATTTACCACCATGTTAAGTTACTAAGATAACTAATTACCCTCACATTATGTAAGACCTGTTTTCAAAGCACCATACTTAAAAGGCACTGCTGAAAATAAAGTCCTATCCTTCATATTATGTCAATGTTGCCATAGCTAGGTATTTCCTTCACAACTCAAATTAATTTTAGCCTGATGATAACATTCTAATTATAGCTATTAAAGAATTATTACTCCACAGCAATTTTTTTTTTTTAGGATTTGGGTGAAGATTTACAGAGTAAATTCACTTTTCATACAGCAGTTCACATATACTTTGTCTCATGTCATTGACCAAAATTTACAATGCAGCAGCTCCCCTCCCACTTCCTCCCCATAGTTACCTCCTCCCAGTGTCCATCCCTTCATACTCTTCTGCACCCTGAGCTATCTCCCTGTGCATAAGCAGCCCTTCCTTCTCCCATGATTGTTCTCTCCAGGGCGACTCCACAGTAATTTTGTAAGAATTTCCCAAAGCTTAGAGAGAACAGATTAAGCCAGATTGAATTACGTTTCCATCTTAATTTGCATTTTGTTGAATACTTATCCTAAAAAGTTAAGTTTCATGTCTATTAATTATACTGTACTTCGGCTTAAAATACTAATAAGATGTTACTAAGTTATGCTAGAAAGATGCTAAAAGGAGTCATTTAAATCAATTCTAAAACATATCAAAAGAAAATGCCCTCAAATTCTGAGGAGGACTGCAACTAGCCATTCCAGATGACAAAATCTATACCTTTATTTAATTTCTAATTTGAATCTCAAAATCCACAAGTCATAAAGTTTTCCTAAAAGTTAACCAAATCTTATCACAATTTAATATTTCCCTGATAAAATTACCATCACTTTTGTCATCACATAACACTCTGCTCTTCAGTATCTTCTAAAAGAGATGGTTGACACCACAAACACCTAATACTCATTTAAAGGGTCTCATTGTCCTACTTTTCAAGTTAGTTAACTCAAAAGTTCTTGCTTGAAAGTGAACTGATCCATAAATGTGAAACTGCAGACTGGAAATCTAATTTTATTTTTTAAATTCCAAACCACACTAGATCTGTCCATTCAAATCCCACACTACAGAAATTTCCAAGTATCATCTCAGACAGCCTGACAATTTATCCTCCAAGCGTCCTCTTTACGACAACTAAAAACACTAAAAGTAATAACCAACACTAAATCCAACCACTAACAATTTAGAACTCGAATTCACAAACTCTGGCCTATGCACATCATGCCAAGACAATCTCAGTACCTAGTTATGAAACAGCAACAAGAGTTTTTAACAAACGTTTACTGAGCACTTACTTTGTGCCTACCATTGTTCTATGGCCTCCACCTATTATCTCACCAATTGTCCCAAGAGTCCTGAGGCAGGTACTGTCATTTGACAAGAAAACTGAAGCACAAATAAGTCCAGTATCTTGCCAAGGTCACACACCGGTAGGGGTAGAATTGGAACCAAAGTAGGCAGCCCACTTCACAGCCCGTGCCCTCAACATTCAACTGCTGAACAGAGTTAACAATTTACCCTTAACAGCCGCTTATCAAGACACGGTAAATGTTCAACTGTTAGAAATGGACAAACAGCTAACAATGCCCTATATCCATGTTCATGGCTTCTAGACTTTGACAAGTTGACTTCATAATTTAATTTTCCGAATACACAGATTGGACTTCTCTGGATGTCAGGATAAACAAATTCTGAATCTTTCCAGGAATGGACTGACAGGGTGAGAGAGAGAAGCGGGGCGGGGGGGGGGAACCCTATGCTGTAGCCCAGGTTATGCACATTCCTAAGTTATAAATCTGGGAAAGTCAAGAAAGTCAAGAAAGGACCCCAAACTACTTTGCAAATGAAACCGAGAAAAACCAGGGTTTACGATAAAAAATCTAGCGCTTTACTGACAAGCTGCTCACGCGATCTATTTCCTAACGACATAAACAAGGGAGGAGACTGCATTCTTCACTCTGCACAATGAAACCTCAGGCCGGAGAAGAGAAAGAACGCAACAGAAACGGGGACGGCTACTCGGGATGCGGGGGAGGGAGAGGAGGCCAAGGACGTCGGAGTCGCACCGTCCAGTTCCCGGGCCTCGAGGTGGTGCGGGGAGGGGCCGGAGGGAAGGGCCCGGCAACTGCCTGCACTCAGCTGACCTCCGCCATGTTGGCCGCACACCCAGGACCCTTCACAACAAAGGCCAACACGAGGGCGCGGGGAGCGCCCGGCGCCTCCCCCGAGCCAGGCCCGCCTACCGGGTGCGCGGGGGCCGGGCCGGGCAAGGAGGCCCTTCCCCTCCCTCAGCCCGACCTCGCAGGGGCCGACCCCCATCGCGGGCACGGCCGGGTCTGGGGTGACGGGGGCGGGAACGAGCCGGCTCGCTGCCGCTGGCAGGGGAGGGGCAGAGGGCGGCGCTCGGCCGGCCTGCCGGCCTCAGGCCGAAACAAAGGCGCCGCCGCGCCGGGGGCAGCCGTAATCCCTCCCCGGGGCGAGACGACCCGGCCCGGCCGCCCTTCCCGCCCGCCGCCATTACCGGGCCTGGCAACCTTTCCCCCAAGAGCCCCTCAGCGCCCGGCTCCTCCCTCCAAGCCGGGCCCCACTTACCTGTGGGCGGAGAGCGCGCCACGGACCCCAGTCCTCGCTCAAACGCGCTCCGTCGCCGCCGCCAACCCCCGCCACCGCGGGCAGTGCCACAGCCTCCACCGCGTGCCGAGACCGACGGGACACACTGGGCCGCCGCCGCCGCCGCCGCTCGAGAGCGCGCCCTGCAACGGCCGCCCGGGCTCC